AGGCATTGTTAATGGCTGGCTGTGGAAAAAACACATCTGTTTGTGAGGGAGGATGATGCTGCACCGACCCAGCTACTCCAACACTACAACCTGACTGACAATGACGTAACTGCATTTACCGCTTGTGTCGTACGAGCAACTTAGTTCATCCACCTCCAGAAAGCACGAGCAGCGTTCACACAGCAGTGTGTTGAATGTGCTCTGCTTTAAAAACACATATGTTACCACCCAAGTTAAACGTTAGCATGACCTGGGGAAGGGCTGATGCGAACGGCTAGCTATCAAAACGTTACCGGGCGATGGGCCTGAATATACACCGCTGAGATGATATTAAAGCCCCAGTTAGGTGGTGTACAATGTGATGACAATGTTAGCGAGGCGTGTTTGAAGTGGCTAACAAGCTAATTTGAGTATTGCACTAGCCATACGTTTGTTTACGTTTAGCTAGGTAGCAGCTATTTACCCAAAACAAATTGTCAACCTGCTGTCATGACAGTTAGCCAGCTAGCTTGTGTTTGGGCTACACTTCGATGTGTGTGTGATTGAATGCACAGTTTGAGTTTATCACGGCGTATCGGTCTGAAACACGGTGTACGGACAGAGAGCAGCCCGTCGGTGTAAATCCCCGGCGCAGGGGTTAACCGAAGCAACGTTAGCTTAGATGACACGGATAAGCTAGGGAAGTCAAAGCACCAATGCTACCTAGCAAAGCTGACCCCCGTAGAAAGGTTGCATCCAAAACCGAGGAGCCCCTGGAGCGAGTTAGCGTTTCAAACAAAGTCTGCAGTGACACATGTTAAACTAACTCGTGAGCCATGGGTGTGCGTTAATCTGAGGGTTGCTGGTGCTCCGACGTGCCGCTTAGCAAGGGTTAACGTTGGCTAACGGTCGTTAGCTCGGTTAGCAGCACAAATGACAGACCAGCTCCCCGGCAGACATCTCTGTCTTTTCCCACGTAAATCACTCACCTTCCTTGATTTAACCCTTGCTCTTTATCGTTGATAGCGGTGGTGTAAATCCGCCTGTATCTCTCCGCCAGGGCTCGTCCCGAGAGAAGAAGCTGGTACCGAGTCCGACAGTCCGACTGGGCTCCGGGCGTCGGGCAGGAACCCATGCCCGAACCGATGGTGGAGAGCTCGGCTCCTGCTCCAGAAACGACCCGGACACCGAGCCCCATGGACGGTGCTGCGGAGGGCAGGATCCCACCGCCGGCGGCCGCTGCCGCAGCAGCACACATCATCGTCTTGGAGAACAATGCATATATCACTCAAAACACGGCACGACCAGGTGACATCGAGCCGTCAGAAGCGGGTCCGCTCGTTTTGTTAAATCCGCCACATGTTACATCATCTGCTCGCTCCGAGTTGCGGGGAAAAAACACAATTAGCATCCACGGTTATTATAAGCGCAAATTGAAGCCAATCCGGTGGCGCAACTACGGTCTTCCGATCCAGCCTCAGCGTCAACACGGTGCCCGTCGCCTGGAGAACGAGTCTCATCGAGCCATAACAAAATGTCTGGTGGGATAAACGGAGCCGCTAATTTCCTGGAGGGGAAAAAAAAACACCCTATGGTTGTTTGGGTCTCAGTTGCTGCTTGATTATTTCTTGACCCCGGAGAGGCAGCACCCTCAGCTGGGCTGCCATCTTAGCTCCATCATCCCTCCCCTCCCTGGCGGAGTCTTGCGTCGCTAGCATGCCGGGATATTTTCATACGAGCAAAACCGAGCTATCATTGATTTCTGTCCGAACAATGACCCCCCCTGTTCGCAGATAGTTTTCTGTATGATCATGTTTCTGGTTTGACGTCCGTGGAAGTGGGGGGACAGCTCTGCAGACACGCGGCAGAAGCATAAGCTGCTGTTTTTCTATGATGCATGACACTTTGATTGTGCACTATTAATTTGCAGAGGCTTCATCCACAGCCCCTCCCAGTTTGATCTAAAATTGGCACAGTGTGATGCTTTAAAGCGATTAAATGCAATTTACAGCAGCTCCCTGGAATAATAATAACGATGTTGTGTTTTATTGTGCTTCTTCCTCCAGTGAGACAAACTGGGAGGTGTTGCCCTTTGAACTCATTAGTTTTGCACAAGCACTGCAGCCTCCTTCACATTAAATCATCTTTAGTGTAACAGTGGTCTTCAGGATGCAGACCTCAGTCGAGACCCACATAGCCACTACTGTGCTTTCTTAAAAGATAAGATAATATTCAGTAGCTAAGATTATCTCTTATTATTTCCACAATAAGGACATTTGCCACGTTTCAGCAGCTGAGGACAGTCAAAATAGTACACATAAGTACACATGATAGCCTATAAACACAAGAAATTAAAAGATTATGTATATAAAAGAGAAATATATCCAATGTAAACAAAATATGTTGAATATTGAGGGTGTTGTTCACACTCAGCGAGACAACAAACACACTATATGTTCATTGTAGTTCACTATGTTTGTGTTACAGCAGTAAAGAGGACAGTCAAAATAGAGACATCAGTAAAATTAATTCATTAGTAACCACACAAAAGTCCATAAATATAAAATAGAGACAATATATACAATGTAAATAGAATATATAGACACTCAGCCAAATACTCAATGTACAATATGTTCATGTTTAATGCATAAAAAAATAAAATGGCATGGGGATACTGAAGTGCCTCAGCAATGCAACATGCTGATTGTGAAGATGACAGTACTTGTATTTTTCATTTTCCATTCTTACAATGGTGCGACAACACTGCAGGGGGGGGCAGGGTTGGGGGGGGCTCCAGGAGACACTGATTTGGGCGACATCAGTCAAAATGTCAGTCAAGACCAAAATACCCTGCAAAGCGAAGGCGGACACAGGAAACCGGTACAGATTACACAGAAATACACATAATATGACACACAGATACTCCATGTCTGACTTAGAACATGAACGTGGATTTTCTAAATCCTTTAATTAACTGGATCTTCCTATATTCAAATTCAAATCTAATATAATCTCTTTAAAAAGGTGGTATATGTGTATGTATATGTGTATGTATATGTGTATGTATATGTGTATGTATATGTGTATGTATATGTGTATGTATATGTGTATGTATATATATTGAGAGAGAGAGAGAGGGAGAGAGATTTACACAGGCCCTAGTGGTGCTTTATTGGCTGCAAGGCTTTGCAATAGTCCAATGACGAGAGAGGGGTATGTCCACAGTCTCTCCTCATAGCAACCCAGGAAGCATTCACAGATTATCATGCGCAGTATCAGAGCAGGAGCATGTATCAGTGATGACAACTGAGTCTCCAACAGCAGAATTTATGAGCATAAAAACTGAGGGGTCATGCCATTAGATGTTCAGTGTGAAACATGAGAGGAGAAGAGGAGTTTTAGTTGAAGTGTGCAGTTATAATCTATTGTAAAAGCATCATAAATATGCTGGATAACAAACTGCTGACATTCATCGTCCCCCCCTCCCTCAGTGGCCTTTAGATAGAAGGTTATAAAATCAGGATGATTTGGCGTCGAGCTGGTGGAGATTCAGCTCTCAGCGTTCAGAGGCTGCTCACCGTTAACCCCTGGTTGTCATAGCTCTGTCCAGTTGCAGGAGGGAGGATGGAGGGAGGTTCACTGGTATATGTGGGCCAAGATGATGTCATGGGTCAGGACACAAACATGAGCTGAAGTGGTGGAGATGAAATCAAGTTGCCATGAACACATCCAGGAAAGATGGCTGGTAGAGTCCATTTAGGTTTGATTGATCAATACAATCACTTGTCCTGATATGACAGCTCCCTTTCAATCCCTATAATAAAACAGGTTGAATAAATGAGACATGCATAGACTTGAGCAACTTGTTATATTTAATTATCAGTATTGTCATTTTATAGTTCTGGCACCACCCAGTGCCAGTGATCTCCACTTGTATTTATAAAGCTGTAGCGTACAGAGCAGAAGATTATTACTGACTGATGAAAGAATGACAAATAGTTTCATTCGACATAGTTTGTGGTTGACTTTTTCACTTTAATTCAATGCACATGCTTTAATATAACTAACACACATTCACACTTCATACATACTTACTGCATTCCTTTGGTGCTGTCATCGTGACTGGGAGGGGCACACTTATCAGTCCTGTGTGCTGTCACACCCTCACATGCTATGCACCTTTCATACCTTTGATCACACAAAACATGGCACTCCCAGACAATGTGACATATCAAGTTCAAGCCTGGTTGTCTTTTGAGTTTTACGACCACTGATGATGATTTAGATCTGTGCGTTTGAAAATAGCCTCTTAACACCTATAACTCTCATGCTCTTACTGCTCAGTGGTAATTGTAATTATTCATTGTTTGTGCTATTAAATGTCATTCAGCTTAAGATTCCTTCAAAGTCGAGGGTATTACGACTTCTCGGACTTCAACCAAACCTTTAACCTGAGAGTGAAAATCAAGTTGAAACCACCTTATCTTGCAGTACGTTTATTAGTATGTGTGTGTAAATGTCCACTGTTAGCCAGGTGTTTTATTAAAAAGCCAGAAGGATATTAATACACAGGGTAATACTTTAATCTGTCCATCTTATGTTAAATTCAAGATGGTAAATCAGTCATGAGCTTAACCTCAATACACAGTATGTAATATTTTTACCTGAAGAATATGGATAACATCTTCTTATTTAATTATGTCTTAAATCATATTCCATCACATTCAATGAGGAAGTCGGAGGTGAAAAAAAATAAATCCTAATGCATTTTGCAGTTCTGCTTCCTTGACACCTAAGTTGAATTGCAGGTCCTTCAGCACCCCACCCATGCAAGGTTTTTTAAACTTACACACAGCAGACAGAGCAGGTAATGAGGTATGAATGGAGATGACAGAGAAACATCCAGAGTGACAGAGAGAGAGTATTCTTTGATTTGTTATGTGAAGCCACACCCTTGGGTGTCAGCGGAATCTCCTCCCTCAGCATTAAAACAGAAGGAGTGACCAGGGTGTGATTGCACATTGCTGAGAGATAGACAGGTGTCCGGATACCAACTGTGGTGAGAGTTTGCTCTTTCCGTCTCTTTCAGCGAGTCCCCCCGTGGAGGTGAGTGCAGAATATCTTTGTCAGTCTCTCAGTCTCGATCAGTTTCTATTAATGTGTCTGTGATTTCCAATAATGTGACGATGTGGTTTACAAAATACAGATGATTTCATCTCTGGTAATGATTTTGGATAATAAAAATCAGGTATAATGTTTGAGGATTGTGTATTAATGGAACTATGATGATAAATATAGCCGGTATACTTTTCTAGTGACTTTATTATGAGTATGTAAATGCATTTCTTACACTTGACATAGGGACATGACACATTTGAACACAGTTTAGGATTTCTCGTCCAATCTTGGTTACATGACCTAAGATGAATCTCATAATTGCTGTCGAGTTGAATTATATGGAACACATTTCTAGCGTGCTCAGTTGAAAACATGTTCTGTCTTGAAAAAGTTTTCAGTTACCTAACCAGAGTCAAATTTTGCCACGCAGAATTATAGAGACATGTATTTATAAATCAAAAGCACTTTTCGATTCTGAAATCGTCCTTGAAATATTTTCTAATTCTCAGCAGCAACTTTCTTTTCTTACAAACCATAAAATCTTGAAACCAGAGATTTTACTGAATCTGTCTAGAAATAAAGTTTTTTTTCCCAAATAGCCATTAATCTCAGTCAGAAAGCTCCAAGACAAGTTCAAATTCAGCTCTTTGTCTCATGACGTCTGTTACACGGGCCTCTCATACACATTACAACAAAAGTTCCACAACTACTTCACAAAAACGATACAGACAATCCCACCACTCGACAATCCTTTTTATGACAAATGAAAGTCGTCAGAAAGTAGTTTGTGGGTCTGATAAAAGACAAACGTTGCATTTACAGTTTACAACTTTCCACACAGCTTAACATGTCTGTCGTCAGGCCTCTGATATGAAGGTGTTTGTGCGAGAGTGTGTGTGTCGTCAAAAGGACACAATCTTTATCATCAATAGTTAATGGCATGTTACGGGTACACCCCTCTGTTTTGCTGACAATGGTGTGTTTAGAGAAGGTGTGTTATGGAGGAGAGGTGTGTGTGTGTGGGGTGGGGGGATGTCTTCATGTGGGTTAAGATCAAGACAAACCAGTTCAGGCCTTAATCATTGTGTGTGTGTGGGGTTGAGCAGAGTTTAGGCTGATATGCTGCAGCCACCATGACCAACCTGGTACAGTGTGACTAAGTGCCTGAAAATGTGCACCAGGGTGCATGTGAGAAAACAAAAATCACACTGGGGGACTACATGGAATCCCAAAGTGTTTTTTGACCTCAGGTTAAACTTCAACAGAGCTGGTACTATATGGTGTATATGCAAGGTCTCAGGCCACAGTACCATCTAGTGGATAATGTGCTGCAGTGTCATTATGTAATGAATTCTTGTTCTCTTTCACTTACAGGTGAAGTTACAAATGAGCGGGTACACATATCAGACTTGTCAGCACTGATAAATATGAATTAATAAAATTCCGTGTAGTGCTACAAATTTATAGGCAAAATCTAAGATCCATATGTATTATTATATTATTATATTATACTTAAAATACACACATATATATATATATATATATATAGTAGAGCCAGATGTTGATTATGATATATGTATGTATGATATGTAATAGATCTGTTTCCATGTGTTTGCAGCTAAGGTCACCCGCTCGAGTCAGGTGATGGAGGACAGCAAGAAGAAGACGTCTCTGCTGAAAGACGGCAGCTGGATCAAAAAATACGAGGAGGAGGATGAAGATGTTGAGTAAGTAAATGAAGTTGTCGAAGACATTCCACGCGGTGAATTGACCTTACACAAAGTATTGGGTGTGACTTGTAGTTCATCTCGGTTTAAGCCATCTTTAAAAAAGTAGACCTGCTGCATTCCTTTTGCGAGTCGCAGTGTTGAATCATCACTGAATCCTTATTTTTTCTCCTCCCTCAGCCGCGACCCAAACTTTGGCAGATCTGTTCTGAGCCGATACAAAACCAGTGAGACTGTTGAGAGGTAAAACCACTTTTCTTCAAATACAAGGCGAAATAATGGGAAGCTATCATTTACTGTGGTGAATGGGAGGAATATTTTTTCATTAATTATGTCAGGAGGTTGTATTTTCACCTGTCTGTCTGTTTGTTTGTGAGCAAGACTACACAGGGAGGCTTCTTGATGAAAAACAAATTAGGCTCATTTAGGGAACTGATGTTTTTGAGTTTGAAGCACAGCTTGATTGAATTCATGGGGACTGTTAGACCCTGGCAGAGGTACAGCATGTGCTCTACTGAATTATTTGTTAAATGTCATTTATTGTCTTTTGCTCACAGTCCAAATGGCAGTGAAGTAAAAACCACCAAAACCATAAGCACGACCACATCTGTGGATGCCCTCACCAGGAGGTAACGTTTCTATAAACGTACTTGTAATCTGATACCTAGTTTTTAATATATGTGATTATTATTTCTACGCAAACTTCACGTGATCAGATTGTGACAGGAACATCGATTGTGATCTTGGTCGTTTCAGATTCAGTGGAAGTCAGGAGGAGGTGAAGAGCAGGTTGGTACAGAAGGCAAACAGTGTTATCTGTTGTTGGCAATCAATGCACTTGCAGTAATTTCAATCTGTACCCTGACTTAATTAATCTCTCTCTCTCCTACCGGCAGCACCCTCCCTTCCAGCACGTCCACATCATCCTACACCAGAAGGTCCATTTTCACAACAACACAAATAACCCTGCTAAATCTTGTGATTTTATTTTTGCATGCCAAACTCCATGTATCACTATCACGTGTAACGTTGTTTTTTTATCATATCACTACAGAACCAGTGCTGTTACAGAGGAACCAAAGACAAGGTATGCAACAGATACTTCAAACCAGCGAGGAAAAGTACAGAAAATACACTGAGGCACTTTGTAACTTTGGCTTCGTGTGTGTGTCTTCCTTCAGCACCACAACCACGACCGTCTCCAAGGACGGCAAAACCACCGAGACCACCATCACCACCTCCCAGAGCCTCAGGTAAAAAGCACTGCAGCGTCACTCTCGATTGTTTTACTGCACTTTGAGTCTTTGTATCAGATGAATTAATTGTATTGTTATTTCTGCAGATCTCCTGTGATTAAATCTCCCACTAAGACTGAGACGTTCACTGAGCGAGTCCAATCCTCAAGCAAAGGGTGAAAACATGTGTGCTATTATATTTTGTGTTGAGGCAAAAAATTCCATCGTACAAACATGTAAAAAAATAAGTGTACTGTTACATTGCTGGAAAATAGATCTCATTGATCATATAATGTTGAATGAAAGATTGGTTTCAACATCTTCTCCTCACAGGCCACTGTACTCAAACTACACACCGACCAGAACTACGAAACCAACTGAGACTGTTTCCACCAACAAGGAGTAAGATATTTTCAGATTGTCAAACAAGTGGTCATTGAATAACAGATGAATTTGAATTCTATACATGACAGTAGAATTAAAATGGTCTTTAATACATTTCTTTGCAGTGCGGAGGCGAAACTTTACGACACCCTACTGCCCTCAGCCATTAAGGATGATTACACATCTACAGAGAGGTGATACTTTACAAATCAATCAATTGTATTGATCATGACATTAGGGAATTAGGAGTTTTACACTGTACTAATGCATTTCTATTCTTTACAGCAAAAGAACAATCTCCACAACTGAGACTGTGATAGTGAGAAGCAGCAGTGACACTGAGTGAGTTTCATTCTGTCGTAACGATAATAAAAGAAAATAATATTCTTTATTTTCATCGACACTAATGATTAGATATTTACATTATTTAACATTTGCTGGATTTATTTCTCTGCAGTGTTGAGGACCAACTCTACGGTACACTCATCCCAAGCGCTATCAAGGACAGTGTTTCAGACAGGTAATGTTTGAGAGATCCTGCTTCATCTCAACAACTTTACTTGAACTTACCTGCACTACATAATTATATGTATTAGCTCTGAACTTACAATGTATGTGCATTAAGGTTTGATAAATGTTTATGTCATAAAGTATTTAATAGAATACATCTTAATGGGATAAATTATTAACAAACAATGTGTATTAATAAGCACATAAATGTACTAATTAAGACAAATAACTCAAAACAAACAAAACAAACAAGTATGTAATTATTCAGTGAACCCGAAAAACTGTTGTTATCACAGAGGTTCCAGCATCTCGAGGAGTAAGACTGTCACAGTGGAGAGCAGCAGAGGGTGAGTGATGGAAATGGATGATGGAGAATGTGTTGCTTCTTTATATTTACCGTAGATTTAACCAGGTTTTCTTTTGTGTCATTTAGAGGCGACAGCCCAACTCTGTCATCACCGTCCTTCACAGGAAGACTGAGCAGGTAAACATGTTGTAGTTAAACCAGTTAGAACAAAACAATACTTTTTTATTTAAATTGAACCTTTCATACATAAAATTCAGCTCAAAGTGCCTCACATACAATTATTAAGATTGAATAGCAAAATCATAAAATACATAAAATAAATAATTAATAATTAATATTAATATCAAATGCTATTGACATAAAAACAATCTACAGATTGTATTATTTAAATGAGAAATACTATTTAATGGGGGGGGGGGGTATTCATATCTTTTCCAGATCTTATCCATAAAATCAATTTCAATCACTGTCCTTTCTTTTGACACCAACATGCTGCAACACAAAACTTGTAGAACCTGATTTCTAACATGAACTCAGATAAATACAAATAAATATCCAGCTTGTACCCAACTCACTGCTTTGCCTCTGACACGCAGTTACAATGTGTACTCTGACGATAACCCCTCCACCCGCTCCACCTCCTACACCGTCAGCACCAAGCCCAGGTACTCATTTGACTACGCTCACACTGTTATGCCCACACCAGATGACACTATGGATGCAGACTTTCCTTTATTCCTAATCTGGTCTGTGTTTGCACACACAGCGACGAATACAGCAGCGACCAAAAATCCTACTCCAGAACCGACAGCAGGTAAGAGGATGCAGAGCAGTCCAACACCTCACGTCATTATTTTTTCTTTTTCATTCTCCTTCAGTGTGGAATAAATCTGTGATCTGCGCTTTGCTTTGTCTTTGTATAGCTATGAGTACAGCAGCATCACCAGCCCCACTACCTACTCATCATCATCGTACAGAAGCAGCAGGTATCAGATATGGGTTTAATGCGGGTGTACGTTATACATTAATGACAGTAAAGAAAGACTCCAGCTGATGACTGTAATTCTCACAGCAGGTCAGATGACAATCTAGGAGATTCAATCTACTCTAAGTCCTCCACCAAGAGTCTGTATGGATCTTCTGACAGGTAGGAAAAGTCTGACAACGTCTTTCTTAATCATGGACGAGGTGGTTTTGCTAAAAATAGATTCCCAGTTAGACACAAATTGCACTTGAGGTTGATGGCTCTTTCATTAGTTTTGCTGGCATTTGGTCATTAACTAAAGTTTGGGGCACATTTACATTTTGATCTGATGATGGTGTTACATAAAAACTTAAGGGATCTCTAATGTTACACATCTACCAATAGGAAACGCGATGAATGTCTGAACCAAATCTTGGTGACGGTTTGAATTTAAGTAATTGTCACGAAATTTAACTGAAAGACAAAAATGTCAACCTCCCAGTGGCACTAAAGAAAAAGTCATGGGTCACAGTTAGAAGGGTTTAACTGGTAACTTGAAACCATGAATGTCAGTTCTTCATAGTTCTTCAGATTTATCAACCGTTGTCTGAACCAAAGTGTTACCGACCCTCTAACAGATCTTATTTCAACCTAAGAGTTTTCAACTCATGTATAATTTGGTCCATTGGCTTTTTTTGTTGCCAAACCACTGCCTCCACAAAGTCAAGAATGAACTATCCTTGCTTTTCTTTTGAAAAATAATGTACTTTACCCACCTCTCTTCCATATAGGACAGTGCATGAGAAAGATTTGTGTACTTCCTGCCGTAAGCCGTTCACTGGAGACGCCAAGATGGTCCTGGATGACCTGAAGATCAACTGCCACGCTACCTGCTTCAAAGTGAGCAGATTATAGACACATATAAATCAGCAATTTAAGAAAGACGTATTTCGACGATTTACAAAAGCAAAAACTTGCAATACTAAACTGTCAAAATACTTTAAAGTACGTTACTACTGATGCATTAATGTGAACGGTCCCTCGTGTGTGTTTGTTTGTGTGAACAGTGTGAGGTGTGTAACTGCACTCTGGGTAACATGAAGGCCGGCGACAACATTTGGATCTACAAACGCATGGTGCACTGCGAGAACTGCTTTGAGGTCACCAGAGGTAAAGAAAACAAAAATTAAATAAAATGTTTTTATCTTTATGAAGGTGAAAGTATTAAAGACCTTGTTTTTTTGTTCCTCCCTTACAGACAAATGGCGGCGTTGAGTTTCTCGTGGGATTTCAGTGGAGATTCAGCCTCTCGATCAATGATGACGAATCACTGTTTATCAGCATGTTTCTGGGGACACTGGTTCCCCTGTACTTTAGCTGAGAGATCTTAATCTGGGTGTTCTGGCAAAAGATGGTTTCATTATACAAATATGTTATACTCTTTATTTTAAACATGCATTGCATCTAGTTGTTACAGTGTTTTTGACACAGTGATATTTTATGTTTCTGTATCGACTCTTTCATAGGTTGAAGATGAGTATTTCTGATACTCTCTTAGTTCTGATGCCTTTATGGGGACTCTTTGTGTAACTTGATAAGAGATATTGCAAAACTTAGGGCCGGGGGCTTTTTCTGTGTGCAATAAAGTTCACGAATGTGTATTTATCAAAAAAGTTAAATGCATTCCTTCTTTTGTGTTTGAAGAATAGTTATAATTCTTCAGTTATATATATTTTACAGTCAAAATTCTACAGAAATATTAAACATATAATTATTTTATATCACTGTCATAGAATGTTCAATTATTAATCTTGTTGGAATACTCCGTGAGAAACGAGAAAAGCTTCACTATCACCATGGTGCTCGACAGTTTTCTATATGTTTTTATCCCAGTGAATATATTTTACTGATTCTCTAATAAACAAAGATACAATATATTCTCCTCATGTCATTCTTTTGATATTTAGAGACCTCAGTCACAAATTTGCTTGAATTTTCATGTCTATTCATGAGGTAGTTTTCGCCCCAACTTCATAACAAACATTTCACATCATGAAATTAATTTGAAGAGATAAGAATTTATTAATCTCAAAGGAAACTCTTGTTCCATCTTGCTCCTACATTACAGTACAATATAAGACAGAGAATGAAGCAAAAGAGTATTAAGTCTTAAAAATATAGAGGACATAGTAATGCCGAACCTGTGAGAATTAAATAAGCAAACATGAGACAGTCGAACTAATAGCAAACAAAGTCACAGTAGGTAGGAATGATAAATAGAAAGAAATATGGGATTTTGCACGATAATGAATCATAAAAAAAAGTTATATTACACATAGTGCAAATATGAATAGTGTTATTGCACAAGTGGCCATATTGCACGTGAGAAAGAAAAACTTCTTTAGTATATATTGTTGGTATTATTTCTAAGCGCCTGATTATCAGAGGTCCTCCTTGCAGAAGGGGGGGCTGTACAGTTTGATGGCCACAGGAAGAAAAGACTTCTTGTGACGTCTCAGTCTACCATGGGGAGGGGGAGAGACATTGTCCAAAACACTGAGTAGTCTCCTCAGCATCCTCCTCTCTGTCACCTCCACCAAAGACTGAAGCTCCACTCTCAGGACAGAACCAGCTGTCCCGATGAGCTTGAGTCTGTTAAGCTGCTTTCAAACAGGCACTGAATTCTGGAGATTGTCTGGACATTCTCAAGGGGGGGAGATTGAACCCCCTCTCATTTGCCTTGCAGTGGTAAGGTCCACTGCCTTTCCCACACACATGCAGAGTGGTTAGTGGTTACTAACCTCCAGTGAGTCGTAACTCTTTTAACATAAAGAGTTGTGTCGCTCATGTCGTTTTAATTCTACCACTCAGCAGAATAAAACACTTATCCATTCAACCTGGCAGCATCTTGTTCCTGTTCTACCTCATGGTTGAATCTTAAATCTGACCCAGGCCATGTTGGTACGTGTGCCGCCACGTCTCCTAAAGCACATGTAAGGCAGGTGGTTTATCAATGATTAAAATGTTCGTAACTCATTGAATAACCAACCGATTTTCAAGCCCTTTGGTGTGTGACGAGGTGAAATATCCACCCCTGGTACTGCTGGACAGAACCCATAATCACTTTATGGGTGAAGAAATGTTGTCAGCACACGTCTCACTCGTTTCCCCTCAGCTTCGTAGTCGTCCGCTCTCACATTACTACACGTGCTGGGTGGCTGAGAGTCCCTGTCGTACTGGAGAGCAGCACTCATGCTTTCCTCATCCACAGGCTGTCCCTGCAGTTCACAGTAGTTGTGCAGAACGAAACAAGCGTAGATGACAAAAGGCAGATCGTTCATGTTTATGTCCATGGCCCTCCTCAAGGCGGCAAACCGTGCTTTCAAGCGTGCAAACGAACACTGGATCACCATGTTTGCCTTGCACAGTGTGAGCCCGTAAGACTGCTCCTGTGGGGTCACTCCGCCTTCAGGGTATTCCTTCATGAGGAAGGGCATCAGTGGATAAGCTGGATCACCCACAAGAAACACAGGCACAGCCTCTTCACCCTCCACCAACACTTTAGGAGAGGACGGGATCGTTCCATCCTTCAGGTCACTGCACAGTTTGGAGTTGGTGAATATACGCGCTTCGTGCACACCACCAGGCCATTTCACAACCACATCCACGAAGCAGTACTTGTAGTCGCACAAGGCTTGGACATTCAAAGAGTAAGCCCCCTTTGTGTTGATGTAGTCTGTGGAGTTAGCTGTGGGTTGTTTCACCTCGATGTGTGTGCAGGCGACTGCCCCCAAGCATTGTGGGACACCGTGTGTTCGCTGGAAGTTGAGGACGAGATCTTCCACCTCAGGCTCCGTGCTGGGTTTCTTCACGTAGTCCGGGCCCAGGAAGACGGTGACGGCCTTGCAGACTCGTCGGATGATGACCGACACGACCTGCCGGGACAGCCCGAACGCATTAGCGGTTTTCCGGAGTCTCCCCTCGTCACACAGGTAAAACAGCGTGCACGCCACCTTGGTGAGAACATCCACGGGCGCCCGCATTTTGGTCGCGGCTCCCTCCACATGCGGCCGCAGCCGCTCGCTCAGGTGCATCAGGGCCGATCTGGACATCCCGAAGTTTTCTCGCCATTCCTCCGGAGCCACGACCCCGTTCGTGAAGTTATCCCACCAGGCGCTCGTTCTCCCCGGTCTCACCCAGAAACGGCGCTCGGCGGCGGGCTGAAGGCGCCGCGGGACACGGGAGCTGTCGCAGATGGCTCGAATGATGGCTCGTCTCCTGCGCATGTACGCGGTGGTCGCGTGATGAAATGCGGAGTTCAACTGCACGACGGCCGTGAGCAGAGACAGCAGGGTCAGCAGCGCCTGAGTTTGATTATCCATGTTGGTTTCTGCCTTCATTGTTGTTTTCTTCCGGGATGGGCGTCACGTGACAGGTGCCTGGCGAATCAGCGAAGGCGACGTCACGAGGGGAAAATAACCAATCAGAAAGCGTTCAGACTAAAAAACGCGTCCCTGAGTTTTCAAACTAAAACGAATATTTGACGTTTTGAGCTGATGATGGAGCTTCAGGATGAGTTTGGTAATTGTATTTATTTTGATGAATTATACAGACATTTCTCTCCAAACCAAAAATGTCTATGTCAGTACACAAGAGAATAATAATAATAATAATACATTTTATTTATACAGCACCTTTCACACATAAAATACAGCTAAAAAAATCAGAGACATTAAATGAGATAATTAATTGCAATGATAACTGAAGTCATTGAGATTCCTCATCTGGGGACCATGAATGTCTGGAGCCAAACGTTTGTGCCAGTTCATCCAATTAATACACCGGCTGCATTTGGAAAGTCCAAATAATCTCCTTTTCTAACCACTATTTGTTGACCTCGATGGAATTAAAAACATAATATATATTTTTAAATGATATTTAATTTGAGAAAGTTATGAGTGCCATAATGAAAGCTGTAGCTAACTTTATATTTTATTTTCTCAGAAACTGTACAGCAAAATCTTCTGAAACCTGACATACAGACAGCAAGGGTCACCATGAACAAGAGTGAGGTGGAATATCTCTGTCACTTCTTAAGGCAAGTTATTATAATGTTTTGTACTTGCAGTACTTGGATGAAATACGGATGGATGCTATTTGTTTCTGGAGCATCATTTATTAGAAATATGTAGTGTATTTGTTTTTCAGGTGTGTTTTATATTTGAGAAACAAAATGCATGTGTTTGTTGGTGGAGTTTTGTATTTGTAAACCACACTGTGTTTGCAGGGAACTAGTAAAACATGTTTATGTGTTTTGAATGAATTTAGCTCCATACCTTCCTCTCAATAATGACTTTGGTCCATCTTCCGTGTACCTGCTACCAAATATTCGGAGGTAGCATCATAGATAAAATAATAAATAGCACACACATATATATATGCTTTTTATATACGATTTAAATCAAATATTTTTGGGTTGTGGAGAAATATTTCCTATCCACTGAAATTTAGAACTGTGCAAATATAAAAATAAAAAGTCAAAAGGGTGCAAACAGCCTCAATGGTGTTTTTGTAATAAACACTTCCTCCTCAGCAGTGGTGTGATGGGAGTTGAACTCCAGGCTGCTGACCAATGAGATGCAAGATGTGCAGTCTCACCAGCAGCAGCAGCATCAGTGTGTGTAGTGTGTGAGTGTGTGTGTGTGTAGTAGTAGTAGCTTTAAACGGGGGGATCTGGACACCCTCTCTGAGTTGAATAGGACCCTCTGCAGCAGCAGGCCTCTTTCTCCGCCTCTCCCTCCCTCTCAATGTGCTTGTTACCAGATGGAAGCAGAAGTGTTGAGCCCCCAGATGATGGCAGACGTCAATGGCAACAATAAAATCACCAACGCGGAGCTGGAGGTGCTGAAGCTCCAGGAGCTGGTGCGAAAACTGGAGAAGCAGAACGAACAATTGCGGAGCCGAGCGAACGCTGTAAACAATTGCTCCGTCGGCCCTCACCATCACCACCACCTCCAGACGTCTCTGTCGGGTCTGCGCGGCGGTGGCACGCCGTGTCCGAGCGACGATTTCCCCGCTAAATACGGCGTTTCCAGCCCCACGCAGCCGAATCCGTGCACCCCCGGAGCCCGGAGCCCGACGGAGGAGCTGTTCGCCTATTTCCAGCCGAGCTCGGTGTCTCCTGATGTCGCTGCGGTGGAGGACAGCGACGCAGCCGGAGCCACGACTGTCCTGGATGAGGTGGATGTTTTGGACCTGAACGTCGTGCTCCCTGTTGGAGAGGCTGATAGCTGGTAACTATACCAACCACTTGACTTCACACGCATGTTCAGTGTGTGGTTGTGATTTTTAAAAACATCAGTGTCGTCTGTGTTTTTGTGGCTGTGCAGATTCTTCACAGGCCACAGCAGTGTCTATTATGAGACATCATGTGTAATACTATACCTGGCATGTGTCCTCTATTGATTATATTATTGATTCTCATCCAGGAAGAGTAGACTGTGGTTAACATATACTACTAATAAGAATAATAATGATCATTATTATTGTTATAATAGTAATAAACTTTATTCATAGAGAGATTGGTCCAAAGAGTAGGAGCCATGACAGAAAAGACCCTTCCACCTTTGGTCAGAGTAGGGCCTCGCTGTGGACCCCAGATTATGACCAAGCACATATGGTGTCAAAAGATCTGAAATGTACCGATTGGTGCAAGTCCAGAATGGGCCTGAAAGCTCAACAACAATAAAATCTTAAGATCAATTCTCAAATGTAGTATTATCCTCTCTTATGGTGAGAAATCTGGCTGCTGTAGTGTTTTGGACGAGCTGCGATCTATGTCGACTCTGTCGGCTCAAGCAGGTGAAAAGATAAGTGCAATAATCCAAACAAGACATAGCAAAGGCTTGAATGAAAGTCTCCAGGTTTCTTCTAAACACATTCTGATCTTTGAGAGTTTCCCGAGCTGCAAAACACACGACTGGACGTCTGTGTTGACTTGCTTGCATTGTGAGTTTTTACAGGAAGAAAGATGAATAAGAAGAACTAAAACCAGGTTTGATATCCCAGCATGCACCGTGTGAGCGGCACAGGTATCAGCTCAGAGGAAGACAGTGCTGGGATGAAATTAGAAACAATGACCCGTTTCAGCCTGGGATCAAACAGCTCGTCTTTGTGTGCAGCAGCATGAGCCCCGGGCTGAACTACTTTGAAATGCTGTATCTGCAGACACGGGAAGCTCTCACACACACACACACACACACACACACACTAAAATGCCGACTGCTGAAGCGTTTATAGCTTTATGCATCTGATGCAATGATGTGGAAGAATGTAGCACACAGCTGGATGTAGCAGTGATGGAATCTAGCACCCAGCATCCATCGAGAGTGTCGGTGTATCCTCAGTCCATTTAACATAACGAACTGACCTCCGAGTCAGTGTTAAACACTGTGGCCTCGTTTTCAAAGGACAGCTCAGTCCTGCATGGTTCAAGAAACTGTCACTCACATAGTCACGCACAGTTTTATATTTATTATGATCTTGTCATTGCAAGCAAGAATCAGAATCAGGTGGTTTGGTTATTACCTCCACCAAGTATATTATGTTTGCACCCCTGTTTCTTTGTTTGTTTGCAAGATTATACAAAAATAGCTTAGTGAATTTCCATGAAACTTGGATGAGAATGTGATATAGGCCATGGAAGCACCCACTCACTTTCACCAACTCAATTTCTTAAATTTTTCCACATCTTCACTGTTTCCCATGGAAATCATTTATGGATCCTGATGAAAAAATCTGGCCTGTGTCGGGGACAGATTTTTCTGAGTGTGAAATTTGCTTTAGCTTCATAAAATGTCATAAAATATACTGTTGGGCCATTTAGTTTCATGTTCCACTGATAAAAAGCAACAATAAAATGGGGGTGTAAATGGTTTGTATTTATATAGCGCTTTTCTAGTCTTGATGACCGTGCACTCAAAGATGTAACCACCAGTTTTTTTTCTGGTTTAGGGACAAATATCAAGATATCATGCAGTTAGTTAGTTAGTGACTTTAAGTACCGGTTGATTATTTCCTCAATTGATTTATCATTTAGTGCATTAAATGTCAGAAAATAGTGAAATTGCTTCGTTTTTTCATTTCCCAAGCCGAAGGTGGCCTTGTCAGTATTAAATCCCCCAAATTTCATGTTATTTTACAAAAATATGTCAAAGAAAAGCAGCAAATTTTAGAAGCGACCACCAGAAAATATTTATTTTCTGTTTAAAATTGACTGAAACTATTCATGGATTATCCAAATAGCTGATTAACTTTTAGTTGATTGTCTAATATACTTATTGACGATTATTCCAGCATTACAAGTATTCACATTTCACAATGAGAAGCAACAATATTACAAACCTTGCAGTTGCAGCAGTTAAACACTCACATCCTATACATCACTGCACTGAATGAAGCTGTCACCACTTTAGTTTTTATTTTACACTGTTGGTTTCATAGCTCAGGTTGTTGCCTATAAAATGGCAATTGCTCTTTGGATTTCATGATCCTTTACACAGCCACTGGTTTACTTTAGCTATAAAAGGCTTTACTGCACTGTGTTGCACATCTGAGAAATATCACCACTGTAAAACTCATCTCCAGCTTTTATTCTATGTGGGTGCTGGTTGTGCACGGCAGCCTCCAGCTCGTGTCACTGTGCTAAACTATGGCTTTTTTGCTGTGTGTTCCAGGCTGTATGTGAGTCACAAAGCCAGGCTGCAGGGTGAGAGTGCCCTCAGTCCTCTACAGTGGTGCAGGCAGGTACTGGACCACCCGGGGCCTGAGGTGGCACTGGCGAAGATGAACCTCTGTCACAGACTGGACCAAGGTACAGTGTATTTGCCAGTCACATTAACAATCCCTCATCTGCAGCCACATCTGCAACATCTGTCTCTCTGGCTGGACTGACATGTGACTATAAGCTTCAGCCGCAAAATGTTTCCACGTGCAGCAGGATTTCAGCCACAGTTTCCTGAGCCGTGGGAGCGTTTCACTTCACACAGCTCAGTCGTTACAACAAATCGACCATTTAACTCACACGCTTTATATTTATGTCTTTTAAAGTGCGACAGCTAACTTTCCCACAGAGTGATTATTTTTGTGTGAGTGAAGCTGTATGGACTTCTCACATTTCACAGCCTCCACAGAGAAAATTTCGCAACCCCCGCAGATAAAATACGTCTCCACTTCTTCCCACTACCCAGAAATTAAGCCAACGTGTCTTGAGCCAAAGATGTAATTTGGAGCCAGAGTCTGAGCAGTTGTGATCATGGGATGAACCGGCTGCTACAGAGTCTATTTACATTCACACTTGTGCCCCAGATTTAAGTCTTGTCCT